TTGCAAGTTTTTTTGTTAAGAATGTTAGTCCTTTTGTACTTTTTTACAAAAAGTTTTATTCTTTTGACCTTAGGAGAGTCAAATGACATGTTTTAGCAACCTTTTAGTTGACCCACACGTATTATCATATGAGATGTAAGTTAGATATGCAACAAATGGTTATGACATTACAGCTTAATTCTTGTAAGGAGTCTAAGGTGTTGTTTGTTTTTTCGAATCGAAAATACCTGAAGTCTGCGGACCATCTCTGCAACCCTTTGTGACAGAAGAGGTGGACCAAATGGTTGCAACATTTAATAAAAAAGTATATTTTTAACATCTACAAACTGTTACAGTAAGTTAAAATAAGGCGTAAAGTGGTTTAAAGCAGTTGGTCTAGTGCTGCGCTATGTACCACATGCGCAACAGTTTTTAAGTTAGAAATCTTCTAAAAAAACAAACAGCTGTGAAAAATCAAGTGTTGTGCGGCGTAGCAATAAGTGGTTTTTTTAGAAAAACAAACAGCACTCAAGTCACATTGGAATTAAGACTGTGCATTGTGTCTACTTAAATTTGAACATACCCTTTGACCTTTTGAAAATGCTTTTTGTGACCTTTATTTATTTGAAAAACGGGTGTGACATTCTTATTGATATTAAAACTTAAAAACTAAGAGTTTAAGTTCTGTTTGAAGCTTAGAAGTCACCTTAATTCGAGGTAGGTTTGCACCTATTACATTGCTTGCTTGTAAAACTAGGTTACTATCATCAAGCTTAAATAACATTTTGCATCAAAGACTCGTTAGGGTTAAAGCATAGGAGCCATATTTATAATTTATAAATTACACTAATTACATTTAACCAACATTTATTTACAAAATTATTTTTTAATGACACTATTGTGTCTTTGTATCACTGAATGACAAAGATTATACAAGTGTTGTTGAATCCCAAAAGCAAAACTGAAAGAGACTCCAGTGATTACTAAATCAGATATATTTTTGCCTACCTTTTAAATATATTGAATATGGTTTCTTCTAGTTTTGCAATTTTAATGAACTTTTTTGTAACAAGCCTTTTGGACATTTCATCTTAACACTTACACTGATGAAGCTCTATCATAATTTGTAAGGGCATCTCTATGGTTAACCTCAAAAAAGGCTTGTAACTTTTGCCATATAGTTTTCCACTAACTTATCTAACAAAAATATGGTGTAACCTTTTCAAAAGAAATAATAATAATAACTAACTTATCATTATTTATTTTCAATTTTATAAAAAGTCCGCTCATATAATGTCATTTTTTATACATACGTCAAGTTTAAAAAAACAAAACAACAGTTGACATAAGTAATCAAATAAATAAATAACCATAAAATATTATATGACGATAGTATTCTTTTAATCTTTGACATTTGTGTCATTTTGAAGTTTAAAAAGTTAATTTGTTTAGTGACATAAATTTCTATAAAATATATTTATTTTTATTTTATTTAATTCAGTTAAATATAGATAAAATAATCACAAAATAATAACAATAAACTAATATTTAAATATAAGTAGGGTTAAATTGAATTGTTTATTAAATGTAACATAAGAGGATTAAAAAGTTGAAGTTAATTAAGCGGTGGAAGTTACCTTTAGAATAAACTCTTATCTCAAATGATTAAAATAAAACCTTTTCAAAAGCTTTTTTTAAATAATAAAAAACTTTAACAATAAGCTAAAACCCATTAATCACGAATAAGATAAAACCCATTAATTAAAAAAAAAAAAAGTGTCGATGAGAAAATAACAAGAACTAATACCGAAAAAAGAATAATGAATGTTGACAAAAGGGCCAAACCTTCATAAATTATATTGGATAGTTGATAAAAAAAAAAAAAAAAACAGGAAATCCCATGGAGGGGTTAAAGATGGAAACTAAGATAACGATAATAATCAAGATTACTACCATTTAATGTATTCACTCAAATACTTCCATTGTCGGATTAGCTTTGCAAATTTATGTGTGATCTTTTCTTTATGATTTTCAGAATTTGGTTTTCTATTATCTCTTTGCTTCAATTCTGCACCCATTGGTTTTCTATAGAATTTGTATTAGTTTTCTTGCGCAAGTATTTGCTTTGGGTACATGGTATACATATTTGAATTAAATTAAACTTTATATTAATAGAAATAGAAAATAACTAATATAGCTATATTTCTTAATCAATAAATACCCAAAAATTAACCATTTTCCTCAAAATAACCACCCATTTCGAAGAATATGAAAGAAAAAAATGAAAGATTTCAATTCTCCCATTCATTACATACCTAAAATGTATTTTGAAATCTCTCTCAACCCTAGTTCCAAACTAGGGTTGAGATGGGTAACCAAACCAACTTTATGAGTTCCAAGATTGGAAATTCCCTATAACTTAAGTGGGATGTTTTATAGGAAGGAGTTCAATCATCAATGGAGGGTAATTGTTAGTTTTGGTATAAGTTACATTATGAGTCCATAAAGTCATGTTTCAAGAAACGACATTGGAACGAATGTGTCAACAATAATAGTTATTTTAATTGAAATTAGGTGTGAGATCTGTGTAATACATATATTTTTTTAAATGAATATATTTTGTTAACGATTATATGTTTAATAATTTACAAAACTGAGTTTGGAAATAATATTAATACTAGCTGTGAATGAACCAATTTTTACAAGGTTTCTGCAAATTATCGTGAATTCAAAAGGGATTGGCCGAAAATTATGTTTTTCAATTAGAAATGTCGATTTGAATTTAAATTGAATTTAATAAATTAATTAACGAGTTTATGGAGACATTTGAGTTTTCTTATTTTTTTTTATTATATTTTTAGATTATATATTTTTTTATAATTTAATAACAAAGCTAAAAAAATCACGATTTGCCAAATCAATTTAAATGAAATTGAAAAAATAAAAAAAAAAATCATGTAACATATTAAATTAGGTGATGACAGGTGACAAAAATCTTTTATTTATTAAGTAGGATAAGTATAATGTTCTTGAAGAAGTTAAATACCCAACATATCAATATTATGTACATTTTTCATTAGAGAAATTAAATATTCTTCTATTTTTTTGTGCCTACAATATTTCTGTCTATTTTAAATGGTGACAAGTGTCATTCAATTTAATTTAAATTTGATTGAGATGTTAAATTTATATATTTGTCATTATTTTAAATAGATAAAGAAGAAAAAAAAAATAATAGTCGAATGATATTTAATTTCACATATAAAAAATAGAGGCATCATCCCAAAAATGGTTATATTTTTGGGAAAAAAGAAAATGACGAAACAACCTCTTATTTATAAAATAGACTTTAAGAAATTACTTTTAATTTGTTAAATTATTTTAGGTGTTGTTTGTGTTTTTTTAATCAACCTCTTTTAACCACTTATTGCTACGTCGTACAACACACGCTCATCACTTGACCTTATGTAACTATTTATTTTTCAAAAGATTTATGATTTTAAAACTGTTGTGCATATGTTAGGTGATGCAACACTTGACCATCTGATTCAAACATCTTCACATCTTACTTTAATTTATTGCAGCAGTCTCCAAAAGTTAAAAACAAACAAACTTTATATTACATGCTACAGAGGGTTGTAGATGTGGTCCGCAGATTTTAGGCATTTTTGCTTCGAAAAAAACAAATAGTACCTTAGTGACCGTTATTAACAAAACTTGACATCTTTTGCGAAATAATACTAATAAAATAGTTACAAAAATTAATTTATGAAGTTGCGTATCAAAAATCTTAATAATTATAACAAAATAAATATTTTACAAATATTTCAGTATAATTAGTGCTGTATTTTTTCAAATAAATAATTAAATGTATTTTAGTAAAAAAAATAAAAAGTAATTATTAAATAAAAATAAGAAAAGCTAAAATATGTTCAAACTCCAAACTCCAAACCGAAGATATGGGCCTCATCCGTGTAAGCCCAAAAGGGTACATATTAGCACCTGGTCCACGTTAACGTGTGCACCGCTGCGTATTTTATCACACACCATTGCCACAAACAAAAAAATGTTTTAATTAAAAAATCATCGAGCTAGGGCTTTTCAGTGACCCGTACAGTTGTCCACCGTATCCCATTTCTCCGGCCCTCTCGGAAATTAAACCACCAAACTCCTCCGCCGTACCGACTTTTATCGCCGCCGACGTGGCCGCAACACCGGCTGCAGCTCCATCTCTCTTTCTACGCTTAAACAGTAGGTTTTTTCTCCGTATCTACGCCCTTGCTTATGCGTATCGTGTGAGTTTGCTTGTTTGCCTTAATTGCGCCATTTATGTGACGATAGAATTTTGTGTTTCTTCAGAAGGAATTGGAGCTGATGGTAAGGACTGTGAAGAATCATCATCAAGAAGAAGAGGAGGATGACGAAGATTTCATTTCGAGAACAACTGATGGTTGCTCACAGAAAGGTTTTTTATTTCGTAAACACATACGTATTTTATACACCTAGATTTGCGCATGCATAATTGAAATTGAAGTTTTTAATTGAATGCAGATGGAAGAAGGAACGATCAGAAGGCGAGCTCTCATCGTTCTAAGCATTCTGAGACGGAGCAGCGTCGAAGGAGCAAAATTAACGAGAGGCATGCATGCTTGATTTTTTTCATCTTATCTTAAATCATTACCCTTTTCTGTTACATTCACATGCTTTCTCAACATAGGATTAAAGAATTTCTGTTCATAGCTTGCTTACACTCTGTATTAAAGAAAATGCTTCTCTGCCTCTCTTCCTCTCTGGCCATATATGAATTGTGGAAAAGGATTCATTGATTAGGGAGATGTTTATTTGAGCCATATTCTGATGCCTTTCTTCTTCTTCTTCTTCTTCTTCTTCTTCTTCTTCTTCCACAATCATTTAGCTGATAAAAACATGTTTTCATTTAGGGCTTTTTATATAAACAAAGTATTCCAATTTCTTGCTTTTACAATGGGAAATAAAAAGGTTATACTTCTACATGCAACTTGATGCATCCTTTTCATTGTGATGCAAATTATTCTACAACAAGTTCTTATGCACACTGTTTCTACTTTCTAATCAACCTAATAACCTTGAAACTACACAGATTTCAGATTTTAAGAGACCTCATTCCTCAAAATGATCAGAAAAGAGACAGAGCTTCATTCTTATTAGAGGTATGTAACTATGTAATATGTATCCTTGCTATTGTATACAACCTTTTCTATACTTGAAAATAACTTTACTAATCTTTCTTATGAACTTAGGTAATACAATATATCCAATTTTTACAAGAAAAGTTACAAGTATATGAAGGAACATTCCATGGTTGGAGTCCAGAGTCCACAAAGTTAATGCCATGGGTATAAATATAATTTTTATTTTTTCATCATAATATTACATTCCATATAACTATAAAGATATTAATCTATAAATCTTTTTTCAACAGAGAGGAAATAATGTCACAGATACCTTCACAGATCAATCACAACCCATAAAAAACGGATCTTTACACGAGGGTAATATCGTCTTTTCCCCACCAATGCTATCAAACACACAGAGCTTGATAGAACACGAACTGAGTCACCCTTCAGCTGCCCGAGCAGCTGCCCTTGACATACCATTACAGCAAAACACATATCTGCCCGACCCTGACCCTGATCCTGCCCGGGCTGCCCAGATTCCTCATGAATATTGGGATGATAGATCTCTAATGAACGAGGATGCTACTCCAAATGAGCTTCAAGAATTGAAGATGCAAAGAGAAGGAGATAGAGATAGAGATAGAATCTCAGATGCTTATTCCAAAGGGTGAGTATTTTTTTTTTCATTTTCTTGAATTATTTAATTTAATGTTTTTGTTAATTAATATTTTTTATGTGATTATTAATTACAGGCTGTTGAATAATCTAACTCAAGCATTGGGTTCTTGTGGAGTTGATCTTTCACAAGCGAATATTTCTGTGCAATTTGATATCAGAAAAGGCACAAGTAGTGGATCAACTTCAACATCTTTTGGAATCAAGGTCAATAAAAAAACCATATTTTTTTTGTTTTTTATAAAATGGCAAGATACATAAAAAGATTAAAAGCCATTCTATTTTGACTTTCATTAACAAAATGGCCAAAATATAGCGGCTTTGTGTCATTTTCCTTTGATAAAATGGTGAAAGTAGGTTCTTTTTTTCTATCTTTTAATCATTTATAAAACCGGGTAACCAGGAAAATATTTTGAAATGGAAGGGTAAAATGGTCATTTAGTCTATAGTTGTTAAAGTAAAAAAATGGCCAAAATATAGTGGCTTCTTTGTAATTTGCCTTGATGAAATGGTGAAAGTAGTTTTTTTTTTAACCATTTATATAACCGGGCAACCAGGAAAATATTTTGAAATGTAAGGGTAAAATGGTCATTTATTCTATAGTGGTTAAAATACAAAAATTGCCCAAATATGGTGGCTTTTATATAATTTTCCTTTGATAAAATGGTGAAAGCAGGTTGTGTGAGGGTAAAATGGTCATTTGAAGTGTATGGGTAAAATGGTCATTTTAGTTTCATTAAGGTTTGTATGGGTGAAGAGAGTGAATGGAAAAATGGATAGAGTGAGTGGTCTCTGTTTCTTTTTCTTTGTATTTTCTATAGCGGATAAGATAAAACCGTCTTGATGAGAAAAGACTGAATGACCATTTTACCCTTATGGCAATATTCATGAATTATGTGTGTGTGTGTGTGTGTTCAGGAGCATGATTTTCTATCTGATTGTAATCAAGGAATGGCAGAGTGTGGGATTAGGAGGAGAGATGATGATGTTGTTTATTATGATCAAGTGCTCAAGAAACCAAGAACACAACAAAACCAGTAATTACTTATTTCTTTCTGTTAAACACATAATTTATAAGTTTTTTTTTTTTTTTTTTTTTTTTTTTTATTTAAAAAATTTTAAATATGGAAACTTGTTTCGTTGTACATGTTTTTTACTAGAAAATGGGGGGAGTTATGTATTAAAACTTTGTAGTCTTGGGCTTCCATTGCAAATTAGAGAAGCTGCTTTTCTTTTTTTCTTTTATGTCATCTAATTACTCATTTAAACAAATTAATCAATGTGTGAGTTTTGACATTTCCACCCAACTAAAATATAAACTAATATCATAATATCCGAATTCACTAGATATTCCTCTATGATCCCACTCATAATATGTTTAGGTTATGTTTGGCGGATTAGCTGAAAAATTAGCTGATTGCTGAAAAACTAGCTGTTAAATAAAAAGTTTGTTTATAGTTGAAAAGCTAGCTGATAAAAAATAACGTTTGGTAAAACTAGCTGCAAAGCTAGCTGAAACATATAAAATTACATAAAATGACATGTAAGAGTATGTGTTTCTATAATTAATTAAGGGATATCTGGAAAATTTTAAAAAAGCTCCTAAAAAGCTAGTCTAAGTAGTTTTTTAAAAAGTTGGTTTATAAGCTATTTTTTAGCTTACCAAACACGACAACATAAAAAAACTCGAAAAATAAATTAGCTTATCAGCTAGCTGTGGGGCGTCAAACACAGCCTAAAGTGTTGTGTTAATTTGTTGATCATATGTGTTGGAATAAATGTGAAATAAGTTTCAAAAAAATATTGTTGAAAATATTAACTTTTTTTTTTCGGTTGTACCTAGTTTGTCCGAAATTTGTTCTATTAATGTTTCTACACTAAATAAAAGAGAAATTAAATATCCTCTTACTATCCAATTAAATTGTGACATATGTAATATTTAATGTTCATTTAATGAAATTTAAAGATATTTTAGAATAGTAATATGATACATGTTATTATTTAAATAGGTAAGAGGATTCGTAGGAATAAAAGGTAGGAGGATATTTAATTTCTCAAATAAAATTAGCTAAAAACCAAGGGAGTAGTATGATGAACACTAGATAAATCAGTTGTTTCATTTAAAACAATTAGTTTAATGCATAAAATCTTGACCACATCTCAAACCTTATCGGGAAGTGTAACAACTTTGCCTTCTTTAAAACACATTTTATTTTTATAAAATAATTTCAAACATAAAACAAATAGAAACCAAAGGGCTTGTGGTCTAACTAAAGGAAATTTTATAGAAAAATCTCAAATTTTTCGAAAAAGTTTAAAAAAATCCTAATTTTTTTTAATAGAAAATTTCATTATTTTGAAAAAATCATATAATTTGTTGTTTGTTGTTCAAATATAAAAATGATTTTTTTTTTCGTTAATTTGGACAAATTGTTAAATAATCGAGATTTTTCTATTAATTTTTTATAAAGATTTTAATGAAACTTCTTTAAAAAAGTTTGAGGCATTTCTCAAACAAAGACCGAAAGTTCAAATCTTATTGAAAACAAAATATATAGATTTTAGAGTATCGATGGTAGGTGTTTTAAAAGACCTTGTTTCTTTGTCTAGCATTGTACGTACCATAAATACACATATTTAGCCTTTCACTTTATGTCATTCGTAGTGCCCAAATCAAAATGATATCAATTTGTCGGATTTAAGAACATATACGACTTCCACCTCATCATAGCTTTTTGAGGTTACTTTGGTACTACCAACAAAAGTGAAAGTTTGTGAACATGTCATTATCAATTTGGAATTTAAAGTAAGAAGTGGAAAGTATGAGATTGCAAAAAACTTTTGAGAATAGAGTAATTTTATGGTGTATCGAAAACAAATGAACCAACACGTTTTTATACTAAGGGGAAAATGGTCATTGGGTTCAAACGACTAGTAAAACGGCTATATCACCGTTTCTTTAAATACAATTCTCTAAATTCATGACTTTAGTACCCGTTTTTTCGATTTTTATTAAGATAAAAATTATGAATAAAACTAAAACTAAAAACGGCTATATCCTATATGGAATTTTTTGTAACCAAATAAAATATTATTCATATTAGATATAGTCTAGCGGTATCATATGTTTTTAGAAATGTGTATTAACAAAATACGAAGAGTGCAAGTCTCCATAGAAATAAAATGAATGGTTTAGGAGTGCTGTAAGGATTCTTTATGTCCTTGTTATAAAAAAATTAAATAAAACTAGAAAGGTTACCCCTGTTACACAGGGACCAGAAGCTTTCAATATTGTTTCCGAATCGATAAATATGATAGACGTAGAAAGTGTAAAGATGAAAAGCCCAGACTTTGGTTCGGACCGTTTTTTTTCATGTTTTTATGAAAAAATGTAAATTTTTTTACTGAAAGGATCAGAAGTTTCAAAACGGTTAAAGAATTAAAGGGGTAGGATTTAACAAATTCTTAGAAAATTGATCAAAGTTGTCAAACCATTAAAGTTTTGTGGCCAAACTTTAAATATTAAAAAGTTCCTAAAAAGTATAAAAATAATGATTGCAATGACCAAAAGTCAAAATAGATAAAAAATGAGGAGCATAGTGCATGAATCATTTCTGCCAAAAAAAAAATGTTCAGTTTACTATTCCTAATATATATATATATATATATTATATATATATATATATATATATATATATATATATATATATATATATATATATAACACTAAAGCAACTAACTCAAATTTTAAAATAAATAAAAATGCCACTACCGAATTATGCATTAGCCAAAGTAATAGAAAAACATTAAGATTTTGTTAATTAGCAAACATAATTCTATCAAACCTTTATTTAGCATATTAATTTCTTTCTCATCCACACACATAATCCATTTGTAAATTTATTAACAACTAACTCAACCTAACTTTCTATCATAAAAACTTATAATTTGTAATCCATTTTTATTATTTTTCAAGGTTATAAAAAATAAAACAATTTATTTTGTTTTTTAAAAAACTAAAATTTCATTATGTTTATCTTTCAATTTTAAAATTTAAAATTTATATATATATATATATATATATATATATATATATATATATATATATATATATATATATATATATATATATATATTAAAATGTATCAATATTAGTAGAAAAAAATCAGACATTTATTGTGTATTATTTACTTTTAATAAGAATAAAATATAATTAATTACTAAATAAGTTTGACAAAGAAAAAATAAATCATCCTATTAGATTATGCCATTAAGGCCATGAGTCGTTCACCAACTCACTCAATTAATTTTAGTTGAATTTATTTGTCTTATAATGTTTTGGGTTTTGGTTTTGATTTAGGTTTACATAGCTAGTCAAACAATTTATGGATAATCATAAAATACCATAATATTATGAAAAATATCGACAAATAACCACGGGCAAGTCCGGTTTCTAAATCGCACCGAACTTGTACAGGAACAGAAAGTTCCAAAACCGAAAACCCAATTTTGTGGGTATCGAGAACCAATTCCATTTTAGTATCAATTAGTACTATATGGTACCTGTAGTTTGGTGCCAATCCCATTTTAGTATCAATTTCTATGTGCAACATTTCATGTTTGAGGCTGTAGAGTTCGAGCTTAAGTACAACAAAACAAGAGGTTCTTAACCCACATCTGAAATTAAGAAAAGAAAGAACATATAGGAAAATAATCAGCCCCGTCTGAGTTCATATAAGAGAGTTACGAGTATACAAAGCTAAAGAATTTTTTACACAACTTCTGTTAAGAAGAAAATAGTCTGAGAAATTTTATGTTTCAGGTACTCATGTTTAGTAGTATGTAACTTAGACTATACTTATTCAAACCAGTTGATTCTTGAGCCTAACATGTAAATAAGATAGAGAAGAAGGTACAAGGATAAATTAGGTTAATATAAGTTCATATGAGAGATTTTTAAGTGTTTAAAGTTGAATGAAATTATACACAAATTCTAATAAGAAAAAAAACTAAGTCTGGAAAATTAAAGTTTTTTAAGTCTTCATTTTTAGGGCTATGTGACTTAGACTATACTTATCTAGAGTAGTTGATGCTTAAGCCTAATATATAGAGAAGAAGGTACATGAAGAAGAAGAATAAGCTCATTTGTACGAAAGTGTTATAAGATTATCCTCATTAGCAACCTAATCCAGCCCAACTTTTTATAAATAATTAATTTCTCTCTCTTCCACCTATACAACTCAATCCAATATAATTAGTTACCCCGTTAGCAATCCAACCCAACCTATCTTATATTAAATTTTTATATTTATAAAACCATATCAATATTTGTCTAATTTTGTAGAGAAAAATATATCAAGTATTTTGATATATTTTATTTAACTTTTTATGAAAGATAAAGTTCACTTATTAACAAAAGTTAGTTTTTTATATAAAAAGTAAATGATTCCTTTTAACAAAGTTAGACACGTAGGAAATCTATATATATACAAGCTAAAAGCATTAGGTATGGGCCCGTTGAGGTGGTGTTATAACAACTTATAACACCAAGGGGAAATGGTGTTCATGGTGTTATAACCATGTTATGAGGAGGTTAAGAGGAGAAAAATAGAGAGAGAAGAAATGTGCAGCAAATCAATGTTCTTGTTTCAATATGTCATAACGCCAACAAGATATACCATAACACCAAGGGGGAAATGGTGTTCATGGTGTTATGACCATGTTATGAGATGCCACATCAGCAAAAACACCACTTCTCGTTGCCCATAGCATATACTCTAAAGTGAGCTGAGGGCGTGGTCACGAACTGGATCACCAAAGATTATCTACTTATTATTTTTTTTAATATTTCTTTTCCTATGACCCGTTGGCAAGAAGCCCCAATGGGGTAGTCTAAGGATCAAAATTAGTTCATTTGATCTTTAAGGGTATTCCTTTAAAATTTTGGTTCAGATCCGATACTTACTTGAACCCAAAGCACCGAATACTGCTAGTCCCGAGAACTAAAATGCTTGATTTAGTGGAATTGAGCACCAACCTCCATGTAATTATAAGGTATTGTTTCCGATTCCAATATGGTACCAT